TCCTGGCTGCTCAGCCTGAAAATAATCACACAGATACTATATCACTTAAATCATTGCTTGGCCTGTTAGCTTTAGTTTCTTATTTGCTAACTCTACTTCTTAATTCAACCCATTTCTATTAATCTGTGTATTGCTACATGGCTGTGGCTTACTGGCAAAGTTCTGTCTCATGTCTCTCTCTCTTGTGGGGCTACATGGCTTCTCTTGACTCCCCCTTCTTTCTCCTAGCATTCAGTTTAGTTTCTCCACCTACCTCTGTTCTGCCCTGCTATAGGCTCAAACCAGCCTTTACCCGTTAATGGTAATCACAGCATACAGCCATGTCTGCTGCTCCATGGAAGTGTGACACTTTCATAACAATGGATTTTAGCCTTAGCCATCGTCATTCTAGTTGTGAAGGCCAATGCTGCTGTTTTGGTTTACTGATATAAAACAGCTTTTAGTTTTAGGGCCAAAGTTCATCTTGGTAGTTTTCCTAGGCCAAGTTCCCTGGATGACTGGGCTGTCTTTTACCCATTCCTTTGAGACTGCAAGAGGCAGAAGTGGGAGCCATTTGGAAGAATTTGGATATAGCCTGGACTGACTTTCAGCATAGACAGAATTGATGGGAAACCCTTGTTTTGGTGAATAAGCTGTATGGTACCTGCTTTTCTCATGCACTGGATGTCATGCATGTGAATCCCATACCATTTATCCATCCTGGGTACAGCACTGCCCTTGAGTTCTTTGGTGTTAGCCTATCTTCTGGACATCAAACCCAGAGTGCCAGTGTTAGCACGTCCTCTTCTTAGGACTCCTATTTCATTAACTGTTGCTTTAACCTCTTGTCATTGTTTATTACCGCTTGTTTGCCTAACTCGCTCACATGGTTGAAATGTATACTGTATGTGGGTCTTTTTTAAAAGCATAGTCTCTATCAAAGTGGGTGTCTTTATTCAGCATTTCTAGGGAAAAGGGTCTATTCAAGAGAACCACACAAACTTGGTGCTTATATTTTGATAGCACTTACAAACCAAATTGCCATGATTCTGTACAGTTATCACTTGGAATTAAACTGTATTTTTGTAAGCTAAGACTCAGACTTTTGAACCAGGCTCCTCTGTGCCTTTAGAAAGGATCAGTTTATAATCATGCATGATAAAATTTTTCATGAATCTAATTCTTTGACCTTCTGTTTCTCAGAATTCCTTGATAGTGAGGTTTAGACCAGCCTTCTGTACATATGTTCATTCCCCCTTTGAGTTCTCCACCTGCTCTCTCAGAGCTGTATGTGACTTGACCTGGCTGCTTAACACAAGACCTCAGGGGTACAGAGCCTGCTGCAGGCTTGGACCAGTTTACTCGTTAAGCTGGACAGAAAGCCATGCAACTTGTCTTGTGCTGGTCCTGGGTTCTATATGAAGGTGGGTTTTGCAAGTCAGTAGCAGCTCCCCTTCATGGCCTCTGCATCATCTGGTGCCTCTGGGATCTTGGCCTGTTTGAGTTTTTGTCCTGACTTCCTTTAGTGATGAACAGCAATGCTGAAGTATAAGCCAAATAAACACTTTCCTCCCCATCTTGCTTTTTGGTTATGGTGTTTTGTTATAGAAAATAGAAAACCTAACTAAGACATTGCCTTTATTTAATACTGTGTTTTGGACTCCTGGTGTGTTTTAATTTGTGACATAGCTTGGTTCACTCTGGTTACACTCTGAACATATTTGTGGTTCATGGTGCAGTGTTTAACAGTGTGGTTGGTAGGAACCAAGGCAAAGATGGAGTGATTCTCTAGGTAATTGAGTTTTCTTCCTTCTGCCTCCCCATCTTTCCAGTCTCCTCTCTTTTCTTGTATTGCTTTGATACTTTTCTTATCACTCTGAGCAAATTCCCCAGAATGAGCATTTTAAGTGAGAAGTTCATTTTGGCTCACAGTTTAAGGGATACAATCTACTGAAGATGGAGACCTTGGTGACTGGGTTTTCATCCATGGTAACAAAAGGTTGTAGCATGGCTTGTTCACATCTCAGTGGGTGAAAAAGAATGGTCATACTGGAAGCAGAGCTGGCCAGTATCCCTCAAGGCACATCCTGCGCAGCGATCTGCTTCCTGTTTCTAATCCTCATTGCCATGGGGCCATAGCGGTTCCATGAATAACACCACCAGCTGGATACCCAGTGATCAAACACTTGAACTTCTAAGGGATGTTTCATATTCAAACCATAGCATCACCTGTCTCTTCATCTGCTTCTCTTCTTGAGAGGGACATAGCATTGAAGGACCCATGCTGACCACTATGAATACTTTTTGTCATTGAATTTGGGTGGTGCGTGAAGCCTAGGGAATCTTTCATGGGAGGACATTGAGAGACAGCCCACTAGGAATTCATAGAAATTGTAAAAACAGTACTACCTAGCATGTAAGAAGTATTATCTGTAATAACTGTTATTAATTGTTTAATGTTTCCAGAACACTACTGATAATTATTTCGTCTACTCTGAAGATGTGAATCCTGGGGTACAAGGTTTAGAAACTTTACCCAGGGACACACAGTGGAGGCCTCAGCCTTGTAGTGATCGTCTCAAACATTTGGTCTGTGTTACAGGGTTTAGAGTGGGAAAGCTCAGGGATTATCTGCAGTAGGCAGATCCTTGCTGCATTCTTCCCTGTCTCTCTGTTTTCTGAGATAGGGTTTCTCCGTCTATCGCTGGCTGTCCTGGAACTTGATTTGTATACCTGTTTGAGTTGCACTCTATCTGCCTCTGCTTCCCAAGTGCTGGGGTTCGAGGCGTGTGCTATCACTGCCTGTAGCATTCTTAGGATTAATTTTGCTGCAGCTCCACCTTCTGGGTACCTGTCACACAAAACAGGGCCTCATGGTTCATAGCCCTGTCTGTTTGGGACCATAAAATAAACTTTTTAAAAGAAATGACTTTTTTGATTGTTGTCCATCTCGAGATCTGTGCCTGGCACATAATGGGTACTCAGAATGTCTTTGTAGAATTAGTGAGCATACTCTGAGTCCCCAAATTTAGGCACCAGTAGGATGTCTACAGGTACTGTTGTACCAGTGGACGGAAGCCTTATGGATATAACTTTGGGTAAACAAGAATAATACTGGGCATGTTCATATCTACAGTGGTTTTTTGTTTTGAATGCTCAATTTTTTTTTTTTAGATTGGATTTCACTGTGTAGCTGAGGCTGACCTTGACTTCTGATCCTCTGCCTGTATTTCCTTTGTGCTGGGATTATGTATCACCTTGGCCCAGCTTAAATTTAGAATTCTTCCTCCAAATTGTGAACTGTCACAAAGGCTGGTGCATTTGAGTATCATTTGAACTTTCTGTAGTGATGACAGGTACCTGAGAGAAATAGTTTAAAGTGGCAAGCATGTATTTTGAACCAGAGTTTCAGAGGTCTCAATATACAGTGAGATGGCTCTATTGCTTTTAATTTGTGACAAGACACTATGGAGGAAGAGCATGCACAGCCCAGGGAAGCTAGGCACACTGCATGACAGCCAGGAAGCAGAAAAACGAGCAGAAAGAGATCAGGGCCAAACTTACCACTTCAGAGGCACTCCACTCTGCAGCAGTCCACTTCTTTCTGCCAGGCCCCACCACTGAGACTTCTACCACCTCCTGGCAGTCTAGGGGGAATTTGAGCCTCTCATTGACTGGATCAGAGCCCTTGTGATCTGTCTCGGGAAATTCCTCCACAAATGCATCCAGAGGTGTACTTCACTAATATCTGAGGCACTTCTCAACCAATTGAGTTGATAATTAAGCTTATCAGCTGTGCAGCTTGGTGCACTTTCCCAAAAGCCGTGTTCCTGCGTGATCAACTCTGTGACCAAGAAACAGAACATTACCGGAACCACAGACAGCCCTGGCCTCCATCACTGCTCCACGTTCCTCCCAGGGGTGTGCATCTTGATTTTAGATTGACATTATTGTTGAATGATGTTTGGGAGAGACTGCTCTACATCTGTAAGGACCCAACCATTGCTTCTGCAACTCAGGGGCAGGCATGTTCCTGGCCCAGAACTGATGGCTACATTCCACCTGCCAGAGTTTCCTGTAGAGCCTGTCTTGGGTAGGGGCTATGGGAGGCTTCAGATCAGGAGGTAGGATGGTCCTTCGTTGCAGGGATTTTCCTTCTGATTGCTGATGGCAAATGCTGTGAGGCACTGGCAAGGGATGTCTTCATTTTTTTTTAATTTTAATTTTTATTCTTTATATACATTACATCCCAGCCAGTTTTATTTTCTCTCCACTATTCCCAGTCCTCCTTCTCTTTTCCTCTCCACCCCCAGTCCTCTGCTTCCCTTCAAAGAAAAAAAGAGCAGTCCTCCCAAAGATATCAACTTAACATGACATAACAAATTACAATAAGATGTCTTCAAGTTGGCCAGCTCAACATCTCCCTCCCATCAAAGTGCTATGTTCACCGTGCGAGCTTCAGTCCCTGGTCACCTGCCTGCTGCAGGCCAGACTGAGACTGAGTCTGTTGCTGCAGCATTTGAGTTTAATGCTCAGGGGATGGATCAGGCATGGTCACTAAGGAGGCAGCCTCCCTCACCTCTGGAGTCCCCTTGGATGGTTGAGGTGACACGTATTCGGGCTGAGGAGCTTTGCTCTCTGTGATGTGGCTCTCTGCCCCATAGTTCCCCAGTCAAGGACAGGTGGCTGTCACTCAGCTTTGGCTACAGGCCACAGAGTGCTTTGCTAACAGTTTTGGGATGGAGATCTTCCTGGCCTCTTTGGCCCAGAGACTGCAGTTTGTCTCATAGAGCTTGGAGCAGCTCCCTCAGCCCTGCTCTTTCATCACAGTGGTGGGGGTGGGAAGTGGGCAGAAGCACAAGCATACAGAAGGCTCCACACTCCTGGAGCTAGAATTTAACTACCCAAATGCCAAATAAGATCTCCCGTCTAAAGTCAGGGATTCTTAGAAATGAAGCCAGTGTGGTTTATAGCTATGATCCCAGTTACAGAATGAACAACTTATGCCTTGCTGTCCTCAGGGAACGGGATCATAGCATTGTAGCAGAGACTGCTTGGCATCACTCTGGAACTGCAGGGGAAGAAAGTCCTGTACCCTCTACCTAGCTGTGTGAGTTTGGGTAAGTTTCTTGACTTCTCTGATCCTGAACAGAATGGGGATCACTGCAGTCTGAATCTGTTCAGGTTGTGCTCACTATTCAGAGTAAAGCACTTAGAATAGCCCATTGAAGGTTTGATGCACATTAAGCATTCCTAAAACTGAAACATAGCTGCCTGTAGATTCTGGATCATCCAGGTGCAGTAGGTAGTTTATTATTCATTGTTTTCAGACAGGGAAATTGAGGCACAGACTGGCCAAGTTCCTGCTCCAGACTTCACAGCTGAGGTAGGGTTTGAACCAGAGGCTTTCCATTTTCCTGTCAATAGTTCCAGAACCATTTGTGCTTTGCCCATTATTATCAACTGAAGAGCATGTTTCTTTGAGGAAGACTCCACGTGGTAGTTGGTATTGATTGTCAGCTTGGTGGGATTTTGAATTACCCAGGAGACAAAACCCTGAGCATGCCTGTGAGGAGTTATCTTTGTTAGCTTCATTGCACTGGACAGACCCACCTGAATGCAGGCAGCATTGCTCCATGAGTTGGCATACTAGACTGAAAGGTAGAATGTTTATTTCACTGTTCTTTCTGACTATATGTGGCATAGCCATCTCCACTTCATGTTCTTGCCACCACATTTTGTTTATCATGATGCACAATACCCTTCTACTCCAGAAGTGGCCACCACATTTTGTTTATCATGAGGCACAATACCCCTCTACTCCAGAAGTGGCTTTTGTCAATTATTTTGTCAGAGCAATGAGAAGTGTAACTAACATACTCCCCTCACCCCTAAATAATTCTGGGGAAAACAGGGCCAATGCCGTTCACTTTATGGTCCACTCAAAATACTAAGCATAGCTAGAACATGAATATTGGAAGTTTCTTTTGTCACATTTGCTTGACCTGTTTATTTGGATCAGACTCTGTAGATATAGGTTTCTGTCCTGCCTGGTCCCACAACCTTTCAGTCCCAAAGAAATACCCAGAGGCACCAGTTGTAAACAGAGACTGCACTTTTGTTTCTCAGCCACCCAGACCTGAATAATTATACAGAAACTATAATAATTACAATACTGTTTGGCCAATGGCTCAGGCATATTTCTAGCTAGTTCTTACATCTTAAATTCACACATTTCAATTAATCTATGTATTGCCACAGGCTGTGGCTTACTGGCATCTCTTTCTTTCTGCAAATACGTGGTGTCTCTTTGACTCTGCCTACTCTTTCTATATATCTTTGTTTGGATTTCCTACCTGGCTTTACTCTGCTAAGCAACTGGCCAAAACAACTTCATTCTTCAACCAATAAAAGCAGCATATTTACAGAAGGACATCCCACATCATCTCCTCTTTTCCTTCTAATTAAAAAGGAAGGTTTTAACTTTAACATAGGAAAATTACATATACAAAATAGTTATCAAACAAGAATTATAGTTCAATACTTAGTTTGTTTACATTTGGCAAATTAAGGAAAATATCATCTATCTTATTTTTGTGAGTCTAAAGTTTTATATCTAATTTATCTTTTATCATAACTAAGGAAAACTATAACTGTAACCATCTAATCTTCAATCCATCAAAGACCCAGAATGCTATAATATTACTTAAGTAAACAGGAAATGCATTGTAAGCAACTTCCAAAGTTCTAGAAATGACAGAGACATCTCACTGCTTGGAAAGTCACCCAAAGTTCTTTTGTGACATTGGAATATCCATCTTTATCTTACAGGCCTATAGTACCTGGCAGACTTTTCAGTAACACAGGAAATTTGAAGATCTGTTCTGCCTTGTACTGGCAAAGTTTGTCAGTTGCTTTCTTCTGTGTCCTGCAGAATGTCTGGCTATTTCTTCTGTGAAGCAGGAACCCTGAAGGACCATCCTGACTTTTGGAAAGTTCAGCAGTCACTTTTCTGTGGGTCCTGCATGTCCAGTTCTTACAGCATACCATCAAGCAGTCCAGGCAAGAGCAATTTCTTACCCATATAACTAGTCTTGTCACATTGAAGGCAAATTCCATAATGAGTTTCTTTAATGCCCATCAACTTCTTTGAAGTAATTGGTACTGCCAGAAGCAGACATGTCTCACTGTTGAAAAAAGTCTTTAAGTTTTTAAAACATTTTAAATGCCATATTCTGTAGGTCTGTGGAAGGTTTGAAGAAGACCTATCCATCTTAAATCTCTCTATACATCTAGAAAAGCTAACTAACATGACTACAAGTTTGACTATTATAGATGACTGTCTATTAATCCATAATTTTTAATTATATATTCCATTTTTAAGTGATCTGTATAAACATTATACCTTAAGCAGGAGTAGAAATATAGATATAACAAAATTGACTTGAAATTTGTATTAGTAAACCAAAGTCCATACCAATGTAGTATTCATTTCTATGTCTCCTCTTTTTTTTCTTTAGAAATCCTTGACTATGACCATTATCTATTAACCATTTATAATCAGCCCCTTTAAATGAAAACAAATATTTATAAACATTATTTGAGGGAAAAGTTATGAGGTTGGGTCATCCTACGAAGCATCTTTCCTCACCACAGCTACCCTTAATAGGAGAGGATTAAAGAAAGGAAAACTGTCTCCCTAGTCTGTTCATACTAGGTCCCGGCTGACAGGCATGTCCTGATGAGTGCTATACTGTTTTAACTCCCTGGTGGCCCATACTCAGGCGTACAGAAGCTTAAGAATGCAACAGATCAGCCAAGAAAAACAATAGCTGTGGGGAGCAAGGAAAACAGAGAACCAGAAGAGGGGTGGTGGAGGTGGGAAAGGAAGAGAAATGTCAGGGTCAGAGGTGAGATGGGAAAGGATGGATCCAGCCAGCAGAGGAGGAGAAACCAGTGATCTCGGGTCTGCTTGGGGAGTGTGATGGGAGGGCAGAGGGCAGTGTGCAGTGGGAATGTAGAGGAGGACTATCAAAGCTAGTTTCAGATTCAGTGCCACAGTTCTGCGGGGACTGGATCCTAGGAAGACAGAGAACTAACTCTGAGCCCAGCATACTTGCTCTGTATTCCCTGGAAGACTGTGTGGGTCAGGACTTAGCTCAGACCTAGATTTTACTAGTATCTGCATTCCAGCTTCCCAGAAAGGTCCCCATGAACGGATGTATCCGTGAGTTTGTTTCCAGCCCTGTGTTCCCTTTTACACTATTCAGAAAAGTTGACACAAATAAACTCTACCATGTGTCTCTCATCCAGGAAGAGTGCCTGCTTGCTTTTCTAGGCAGGCTTCTATGGAGTGTTGGAGGCACTAAAAAAAAGAAGTACTCAGGCTGATCCAAGGGCTTTTTGTGGACAGGGCACAATAACACCAAACACGTAGTCAGACCTGCAGGAGTGCTTCAATTGTGTGGATTCTCTCTGCTTAGGAGCTTGTCATCTTAGCTGAGAGAGGTGTCTAAGTCTCTGCCCTTAAGGACTGTCAGGGCTCTATGAGGAGCTGGGGCAGAGGTGAGTTGACCGGCTTTTGTGTGTGGGTGTGTGTGGATGGATATATATATAATCTCATGATGGTCACACCAGCTCTCTGCATGGGTAATAATAATGGCTGTCTAATTTGATACTTTCTCTTCCAGATACTTCTAGATCTTTGCCACCTTTCCCTGTGCTATTTGCTTTGTATTGAAGAATTTAATTGCTACAGTACCATTGCTAGTGGGCTGTAAACTTACCTAGCTCTGCTCTTAAGTATTTTCTAAAGTTGATAAACTAAACTCTATGTCCTTCATTATATAGCAATAATCTCGAGTCTAATGTTGAGTTTCTTCACCTCTTCAGTGTGATTCGTTCAGTGAAAAAAAAAGCTCATTGTTTTGGGAAAAAGTTTCAGAGAGGGCGGAAGAGGGGAGATGCATTCTGTATGGGAATACCTGCATCATGGAAAAGTCTTGGGAAAGAAAGGTTGAGCTTTCCATGCCCTGCCCTGAAGCCCTTCCCTCTGTGCTGATCTCAGTTCAACCACACTGTGCTGCAACCGTACCTGGGTTCAAACTTCAATTCTGACTCTTAACCAAAATTTCTGGTGAGTGAGCAGGGGCTGTCACTTGTGTACTTTCCTGACACAGAGCTGGCACATCACAGGTATACCTTAAATGTTAATTGAATTTCAGATACAGAAAAAAAATTGTGAGAGGTGGGCTGTTTTCCTCTGCCTCCTTGGAGATGCTTAAGTTCTTTTCCTAATCCTTGTTGCCATATAGACTGGTGCTGAAATTATGAGATGTGTGGAAGCCACTGCAGTTTAATTCAGTTTGTGTGTGTGTGTGTGTGTGTGTGTATGTGTGTGTATGTGTATATGTATGTGTGTATGTGTGTGTGTATGTGTGTGTGTGTATGTGTGTGTATATGTATATGTGTGTGTGTATGTGTGTGTGTGTATGTGTGTATGTTTGTGTGTATATATGTGTATGTGTGTGTATATGTGTGTGTATGTGTGTGTATGTGTGTGTGTGTGTATGTATATGTGTGTGTATGTGTGTGTGTATATGTGTGTTTGTGTATGTGTGTGTGTGTGTGTGTGTGTGTGTGTGTGTGGTTACTAGTGCAAAGCATTCTGTGCAGGCAGAATAAATACAAAATGGAAAGAGTCCAACCACCAGGGTAAGTCTCCATCAATCACTTGCTTCTTGACTTAGGCAGTTATGGGTGGGTAAGAACATCCTGGGTCTGGACTTTAATTCAGATTTCATCACATGCAACCTTGTGATACTGAGCAAGGTACTTAACTTCTCTGAATGAGTTCCCTCTTCTATAACATGCCCCAGACCCAGCAGGTTGTTGAGTATTAAATGAGTTACTATGTATAAAGCATTCAGGATCACTGCTGGTGTTATTTGTTGTTAAAGGAAGCTTTACTGTCCTCATGGAAAACCCAGCTGGTCAGAGCCTAGGTTACATGACATTGTAACAAGGACAGAGAGTCTCCTGGAATTGGACTTAATAAAGTACTTCAAAGTGGTGGCTCAGACTCATAGACATTTATTGTCTCACAAGCAAAGGGGCCAAA